TACTATTAACCGATTCTAGTGAAGTTGACATTCAAGAATTGCTTCGTTCTCTTTATCTCCGCTTCAACATGCGTAATCTTGAAGCCATACAGTATTTTTTGGGATTGCAAGTCACTCATCATTCAGTTGGTTTACATCTCAACCAGTCCGAATATGCTGTTGATATCCTCCAGTGAGCTGGTATGACTGATTGTAAACCTGTCAAAACTCCACTACCTCCGAAGTATTCCTCCTCTGTTGCATAATATGATTCTTACCAGCATCTTGAATTCTACATGTCTATCATTGGCTGCTTGCAATACCTTATGGTTACAAGGTCTGATATAATGTATGCAGTTAATTTTCTCTATAAATTTATGCACCAGCCAACTACTCTTCACTTTCAACTTCTTAAACGGGTTCTAAGATACATTAAGGGTACTCTCTAGCTCTAATTACCTATTCTATGGTTCTCACTCATTCTCCAAGCATTTTCTGACTTTGACTTGGATGCCAACTCTTTGGATCGCGGATCAACTACGGCTTATTTTGCATACCTTGAAGAAACTCTCGTCTCATGGTGCTTAAAGAAGCAAACAACTATAGCTCATTCCTCAACTAAAGTAGAATATAGAGCAGTAGATACAGCCACCTGTGACATTATTTGGCTTCACTCCTTATTACAAGAGTTTGGTATTCAATCTGATGCCACTAAACTCTTTTGTGACAATATCTCTGCCCTCGCCTTGGCATATAACCTGATTTTGTATGCCCGTAAAAAACACATAGAAATTGTTTATCACTTTATCCGTGACTGCATCAAGTGCATTTATATTTCAGTTCATCATATTGCTACACAAGATCAACCAGCTGACATATTTACCAAATCTCTTAATCATCTTTGCTTTGATCATTTGTGCAGCAAGCTGACAGTTCAACCACCTATTGTCAGCTTGAGGGGGCTGATAAGCACAAATGATATGTGCTCTTACGTATGTATCAATTGGCTCACTTCTCCATGAGTACTGCTCCCCTGTTTTTGAATCCTGAAAGCTGCAGTCATCCTCATCCATTGGATACATGTGCCTTTAATATCATTTATCCATTCTTAACTAACTCTGTATTGATAATACTTTGTTGTATGCATATATAGAGGGCATTGTTCACAAGTTAACATAGGGAGAATAAACTATGTCTTCCTTCCCTTCAAAACTCTCTTTTATGTTTCTTGTTTTGCTTGCTTTTCAATTGATTTCTTGGTTTCAGCTTGATATTCTTCAATATTAACTTAGTTGAAATATGATAATGTAGGAGCAAGTTCGCTATCATATTAATTAATGCATAATTATTTTAGTTTTAATTTTTTTGTGTATTCATTCAACATTTTCATCCATAGCATATGCTTTTATTGATTTCTTTATTGTTTAACACTTGAATTCTTACATCATGATGCTTTAATCATCTCTTTATAATTTTGTGCAAATTCTTATAAAAAAAGGTTTTATTACCTTGATATGTCATAAGCTCAAATATTTTGTTTATAATTTTGTTTATATTGCATGTACTTTTGTAAGAATTTCTTGATGGCCCTCTATCTATGAGAAGTAGTTTTCTATAGTCTTCTTAGCTTATTTATTTTAAGATTAAAAAAAAAAAAAAAACTGGTGGATGGATATAACCACTTTATCTTCTTAATTAAAATTTTTTCATGAGAATGGGATGAGTATGTCTCTATTTTATTTTCTTTCATGACATTAGAAGCTATCTTATAATGACAAAATTAAGGATTTAAAATCAATAAAACATATTTATATGCTTCGCATGATCTATGAATCCAAAATAGAAAGATATACTTTCTACTATTTAACTTTTCAAAAATCTGAATTAATTTAATCAATAATTGAAGTTAATTTTTCCAATAATTATTACGGTTTATCTCTAGTGTTTGATAATAGTTTTTTTTATCACATATACAAGTATATAATCTATTCAAGTTCATGCTCAAATCATTTTATTAGTTTTCTACTATACATATTCATGTTCCAATCTTTTTGTAAGAGATATTTAGTCAAAGTATTCACAAGTATTTATGCCTTAATATCTACGTGAATAATAATTAAAATATAAATTCAATGTGAATGTGTTTCTTATGAATTGTTCTATTTATATTCACATAAGTGAAATTATCTAAAGTTAATATAAAAATAACTTCAATACAATTATGCACATTATCCCATATATATGCATGCTATCCAAGTTATAAACAAAATCTTATATTCACATAAGTGAAATTATTATTGCATAGGCGACATTCTTATTAGTGCAATGATCATAATTGTTTATTTATTACTATAAGTTGCATCATAGATGGATTTAAGACAATTGTTAAAACTCATCATGTATATTCATGTCATGTATAATTGCCATGAAGTTTTATAAGTAGCAATGTTATCTCTTTCTCTCCTAAATATATATTTATATGATTAATCATTCTCAAATATTATCATCAATTTTAATTTCACATACATTTGTAAATTATGATGTGTTAAATTCTAACACATCTCTTGTGAGGTAATGATGGATCAGATTAGAGGTTAAAGCTTAGGATATCAAGCATCTCTATTTCTTCTAAAATGGAGGTGCCACGGTTGATTGAACCATACTAGCTCCAGTGAGGCAAATTCTAAAACATAGAGCTCCCTAGATCCTCTAAACCTTGCATGTGACTAGGGTCCCTTAAACTTTAGGTCCTTGTAGAAACCCTACATTTAATTTTTCAAATCCCCTAACCTACTAGTGAGTATGATTTTATTCGTTGGTGACAAAATTAGGAATGCATAGTATTGATTTATTTTCATATTTA